AAAAAAAAAAAAAAAAAAAAAAAAACAACCCAAAAAACATTAAGCAAGTAAAACAAGAGAATTCCACAACCTTCTAAGTTCACAAGACGGGAAAGAAAAGTTAACAGGATGGCACTGGGGAGGCTGAGGCAGGAGGGTCACCGTGAGGCCGAGGCCAGCCTGGGCTACATGGTGAGTTCAAGGCAGCCTGAACTGCACAGTGAGTCCCCCCCAAAACAAAAGAATTTAAAAATAAAGACCCCAGGAAAGTGGACTCCAGAGGTGCTGCAGGAAGAGGCAAGGACGGTGGGATGAGGGTGTTCACAGCCAGGGGAGAATTTTCAGGGGATTTGTGGCCATGAGTCTGTTGCTATAGCGAACTATTTGTAATAGAAGCATCCACTGCATCTCTGATCGCCCCTTACCTACGACAGAAGTTTCTCTTTTCTTCCCCAGAACTGGACACTTGCATTTTATGCCTCATGAGAGAGGACACAGGCCTGGGATGCTCAGTGGGGAAATTCTGCTGACTACGGGGACCGAGTACCGCCTGCCTCATCCGCTGTGAACTTGGAGAGCGCCTGTGATCCGGACAGGTGCAGGGCACAGAGGGGAGAACCCGGCCCCGGGCCGGCCACAGGCACAAGGGCAGGAAAAGGCAGGTGCAGCAGAGGTGGGCTTTTTAATGCACGGTGAAACTGGCCGTGAAGGAGCTGGGATCCTCCTGCCTCAGCCTCCCGAGTGTTGGGATAACAGACTGATTACATCTGTGAGTCCTTCGCTGGGGCAGGAGCAACCGGAAAGACTTCAGGCCGAGGGGCGGGGGATTCCGTGCAGTGTCACGTGCTGAAATAAATTTTCTCTTTGAAGTGTCAGCACTCACCGTGTACTTGGATTGCAGCGCAGCGGAAAAGAAGCAAAAGCAGCACGCGGTTGTGGGTACTGCGGCCCTCCCGTCACCACGGGTGGGGATGAAGACGGCAGGGCCGCTCTGGAAAGGACTCCGGCGGAAGATCGGACACAGGCGTGCACAGACCCAGTACACGATTCCACTCCTGGGGAAAAAACCCCGAGTGATCCGAAAACACGGGTCCGCTCAATACAGCTGAACGTGAACGCTCACCACAAGAAGTAAAACAGTCCCAGCACCCATCCATGGGCGCGCAGGAGGTGGGATGGGCCCACGGCGGAATAGTATACGGCCACGAAGAAGGATGCGGTACTGGAGTAGGGGTGCAGCGCAGTGGCAGAGTGCTTTCCCAGCAAGTACGAAGCCATCAGCACAAAACGATAATCGAAGCAACAGTGTCAAGTGGCGACTTACTCTCCCGTATGGGTGCACCTAGAACACGGGGCTCAGGGAAAACACGAAACATAAATTATACCATTTACACAGAGCTCCCAGAATAGGCACATCCACGAGACTAAAAACTGGATTCGGGTCGCTGTGGGGTGGGGACGGGGTTAGTGGTCGCCCGTGGGAATGGGGCTTTGTTTTGGGGTGAAGAGAATGTTCTGATGTTGTGGAGCGCTGCTGGTCGTATCGCAGACTCACAAAAGCACCAAGTCCTACAAGGGAAGGGCCGTGTGGCATGGGGGGGGCTTTCCAGGGAAGAAGTTTAAATGGGGACAGAGTCAGGGGTGGGATCACCGGAATCTCAGTCCACCCCCCGTCCCAGGTCTTTGGTTGATTTTGGTTGCTCTGAGCCCAAGCCTCGCTGTGCAGTTGAACTCAGGCGATCCTCCTGCCTCAGCCTCCCAGAGGGTGGGATGACGAGGGCGGGGGTGCAGCACCGTGCCCAGTTTGGGTGATTCGTTACAGTGGTGGACACGGACGGAGAAGCACTCGTGTGGGTGCCCAAGCCCCGAGGAGGCAGGACGTCGGCCGTAGCTAAAGCCCCAAGGAGGAACGGCTGCCGGACCGGCTGGCTGCGCCCACAGCCTTTGAGGTTCCAGGGCTCAGTTTCCCGGCAGACAATTCCCCTACACGTTGAGGGGTTGGGGTGGCTTCGGGGTTCCTAGAAGCAGCGAGCGAGCCGGATGCCTCCGTGCACGGCTCCCTGTAGTTGCGTTTGAGGTCCCGTGAGAACCTAAGGCCACCCACAAAGTGACCGCAGGTGACAGTGGGGTGGTTGCTATGAGCCGTCGGGCCTGGATCCAGAGGAAATGGACTCAGAGTCTACCCGGCCTTGTTCACGACAGCCAAGACATGGAACCAACCTCCATGTCCAGCCATGAAATGGGTAAAGGAAATACAGTGCCTTGTCTGCCGTGGAATACTATGCAGCCATAAACAAGGTGGGGCCCTATAATTGGCGGAAGAGATCTGCTGGGCAACACGCGGGCCACACTTGATCACAGCACGCTGCTCCTGAAAACGGCTGGATGAGTAGAGTTCTCACCACACACACACACACACACACACACACACACACACAGGTGAGGACCTGAGATCACGCACGAGTTTCCTACATTTAATCCCTCCACGTATGGCTCTATGTAAGCGACTCGTGTTCCTGAAGAAACACAGTATCACACTTCACTTTTTCAAAAAAGTGAATCTCCAGGGGGACACGGGCTGAGACGGGAGAGGCACAGGTTTGGTCCCAGCCTGAACGACTTAGCGACTTAGCGAGACCTCGTCTCCGAATAAAAAATTAAGAAAGGGCTGTGAACTGGGCTGGGTGCGTCTTCGGTATCACAAATAAACTGAACGTGTGATGAAGCTCTTTCCTGCTGAAATTTTGTGTTACTCACTGAAAAACTGACAAGAGTGTGGTTTTCCTGCTTGTTTCTGGCCACACCCGCGAACCCTTGGAGCGCTAGGATCACAAGTTCCAGCCCCGACTGGGCAACTCAGTGACTCAG